TTTACTTTTATCCCTTTTATCGCTTTTGTAGTGATTTTGATCTTTTATTGTGTAGAAATTATATTTTAGGTTTATTATTGCTGTTAAAATTGATTAAATTGTTGTATTGTGTTTGTGCTGAAAATTTATTATTTATTTGTGCTTATACGGAAGAACAAGGGGTTTGAAGTTGAGTTTGGTGCTCATTAATACTCCCCACGTGTTCGTGCTAGTTGCTTCGTATATTGATAGCCTTATAAATATTTAAATTGTTTTTCAGCAAAATTTACATTTTATTTTGTTGCTTGTTTTTCTCCGTGAAAATGTCTGCTTATAATCAGTATGATATGGCTCCATTTAATGGAAAATCTGATTTTAGCATTTGGAAGCAAAAAAATAAATGTATTTTAAAACAACAAAAATGTTTTAAAGCAGTTGGCGAAACCTATTTAATTTCTGACACAGAAGATGAAAGGGCTGAAATGAATGAAAATGCATGTTCTGTGATTTATTTGAACTTATCTGACTCTGTGATTAGAAAAGTTGGAATTTTAGAAAGTGCTAAAATTCTTTGGAATAAATTAGATGAACTATATACCGAAACCTCTTTGCCTAACCGGATATTTTTACTTGAAAAGTTCTTCAAATTTAGACTAGATATGTCTATAGATATTGAAGAAAATCTAGATGTTTTTACCAAACTTATTTCGGATATTAAGTTGTGTGGTGATAAGCATATAGATGATTATTCCCCTATTGCTCTTTTAAATGCTATTCCTGATTCCTTTGGTGATGTGAAATCTGCTATTAAGTATGGTAGAGATAATGTGACTCTTGACATTGTGGTTAATGGTCTTAAGAGTAAGGAATTAGATTTAAAACAGATGGGTGAGGGTAGAAAATCCGAGGAAGTTATGCATGTGAGGGGTAGAGAAAATAATAGTAGACGACATAGATCTAAGTCTAGGTCTAATTCGAGGCGTTGCTATTATTGTCACGAATCTGGTCATTTCATAAAAGACTGTCCTAAATCTAGGAAAAATGAGCATAGTGAGCATGCTAATTTGACTACGTGTGAAGATGATTTAGGTGATGTTTTTATGATGAAAAATCTATGTGATTATGACTATTTGAGTTCTGTGATATCTGATTCTTTGGGTAAATCAGATTGGGTGGTAGATTCTGGTTGTAGTTTTCACATGTCCCCTTTGAAAAAAGTTTTTTCAAACTATAGAGAGATTGAGCATGGCTTTGTGTCTTTAGCAAATGAGAAGAAATGCAATGTGCTAGGAATAAGAGATGTATGCCTTAGGTTTTCTTCTGGTTATGTGCTTACTTTGAAGAATGTTAGGCATGTTCCTGAGCTATGCTGTAATTTGCTATCTTGTGCTTCTCTTGAAAATGTGGGTTTGAAGGGAAAATGGGGAAAGGGAATCATGAAAGTTGTGAAGGGTTGTTTAGTTGTTTTCAAAGCTGAGATGAAAAACAACTTGTATGTTTGTCATGCTGAACCCGTACTTGATTCTGTGAATTGTGTGCAACCCTGTGTGCTAGGAAAACAGTCTAGAGTTGGTTTTCCTGATCTGCCTAAGTGTACTAATGTGCTTGATTGTATTCATGCTGACTTGTGGGGTCCTTATGGTGTTTCCACTCATGGTGGGAAAAATTATTTTCTGACGTTGATTGATGATTTTTCAAAGAAAGTGTGGGTTTTGTTGATTGAGAATAAATCTGAAGTTTTTGATAAGTTTAAAAACTGGAAAACCCTTGTTGAAAAACAAACCGGTAAGAAAATTAATTTTTTAAGGACCACAGTCAGTTTTGATTTCTGTGATAATCAGCTTGGTGATTTATGTGATACTTGGGGTATTTCTATGCATAAATCTGTTCCCTCCACACCCCAACCGGATGGGGTTGCTGAGAGGATGGTTAGAACATTATTAGAGAGGGTGAGGGCTATGTTAGCTTCATCTGGGCTCTCTAATAAGTTCTGGGGGGAAGCTATTTGTTATGCTGTTGATGTGGTTAATCTGTCCCCGTCTGTTCCCTTAGGAGGGAAATGCCCTGAATCTGTGTTCACGGGCAAACCACTTGACTTGCCAAATTTGAGAGTGTTTGGTTGTGCTGCTTATGTGAATCGTGTGAATGATAAATCTGAACCTAGGACTAAGGAATATGTTTTCTTAGGATATCATGGATGCATGAAAGGTTATAGGCTTTGGTGTAGGATTGAAACTTGCTTCAATGTGTTGATGAGTAGAAATGTCATTTTTGTTGAAAATGAATTTCCTTGCCTGCTTGTTTCTCCTGATGTTGCTCCAAATGAGGTTGAGCATTTGCCTGTTGAATCTCATTCCGATTTACTTGTTGAAACCAAACCCAAATTTGTGGATGAAAATGTTTTTCATGGTGAAAATAGAGAAAATAATATTTCTATTAAGGTGGAGCATGATGTGAATGTTGTGTGCAATATGCTTGAGTTGCGTAATTGCCCTGTTATTAGAGATAGAGACATTAGGAAGCATGTGAGAAATTATATGTGCAATGTGTTTGACTATATTTCCTCTGAGTTTGCTTTAAATGTGCTTAATTCTCTTTTAATTAAAATCTTTGTGATATTTGATATGCTATTTTCTTTGTGTTTTGAAAATGTGATACCAAGTGATTATGTGAGCTCTACCTGTGCTAGTTATAGAAATAATATTGTTTCTTTTATTTTCTTTGTGCTTGTTATGTGTGGTTGTTGGATTAGTTGGAATCCCCAACTTCTCCCGGATGCTTGCTTGCGTGGTCTATTAACATGTGTTGTGCTTGTTAATAGTTTTGTGATGGTTTTGGTTCTGAACTCGAGGACCGATTGGTAGAGTTCAGCCCATCGTGAAGTGGGTTTGCATGGTAAGCTTGGTCCGAAAGGGAACTTTGGTTCTCATCTATTACTTGTATGATCGCAATGATGTACTTGTAATAATCCGGCGATGATGAGTCTCCTCACAACTTTGTATTGCTACTCTACACCACCTAGGACCAATAAGGTGGAGAATGTTGGAGGTATTGGTCCTACCAAGGCCTCCCTTCCACTTTATTATTGACTTGCACCCCATGTTTACTCCCACTTTGGCACTTCTCGTTTGAATCTTTCCTAACCAATAATATGGCCATTTTGACTTATGTGGAGTGACCCCTTTGAGCTGTCCTGTGCTGCCCTCCTTGTCTTTGCATCACATGTGAGTGTCCTTGTGTCTACCAGCCTATTATTTTAGTAGCTTTGCTTCTCCCTTGTTGAACGAGCCTGCGTGAAAAACCAGAGAGAGCAGTGCCCTTCTTCTTCTCCATTTCCTTTGTGTGAGAGTGTGAGAGAGAATACCTTAGTGGTAGAGAAGAAGCTTGGAGTTGTGTTGTGGTCTAGCCTAAGGTGGTGTGTGAGAGTATAGCAAAAGGGTTGGAGACCTGAGCCGGAAAGAAATCGACACCCAACAAATAGAAACAAGAAAATAACTTATAACCAGTAAATCATAAATTATAGCTTAAAATTGAGGTACATTAACACCATTACCATTTTAACATTTCATCAAATAGTTGGTGTGCATAACTTAAGTTCAGAAACATCAATTAACTGAAAGATAGAACTTGAACTCAAGACTGTAAGAGGATAATTTTAAGGAAAATTGCTTTATTAAGCTCTAACTAGCAGGATACAAACACATATATGATTTAAATTAAGATAACTTAGTTCATAACTACCCAGTGATGTTCGGAAAGGACACCGAGATAATCACACGTTATAGACATGTATAAACATGGAAGTCTGGTACTGCCAAAACATGGCAGTAATTAGTCCTATTTTGGGAATAAAAACATGGAAGTCCTATTTTGAAATTTTCAAACTTTTTTAGTCCCATTTTGGGTAATATCTCTAAATCATTCTAATATATATAGAGAAGCTTTTCCCTGGGAACGATTGAACGAAATATTCAGAGCAACACAGTTACACAGGTGGAGGAAAAACGAGTCTTATTTATTGCCGGCATGATTTATGTTTACCGCCACACTCGTATCTTCAAAGGTCGGCAACATTTTTACTTGCCGTCTGGATATTTACCGACGGGATATATTTATTCTTTCGTATTAACGAGATGTAAACTAGTTTACTACCTTACTTCCTCGTAAAATATTTCACATGGTACTATGTAAAATGTTTTTTAGTGTCATACAGGTTACATTAAACAATTAAAACAAACGATGTGAAATGCTTACTTCCCCACACTTTACACGCAAAGAGTTTACTTTACATCATAACAAACGGGCCCCTAATGCATACACTACAGATCGAGCGTCTCCACTCTCCAGTGACCTCGGTTCCCTCAGACTTTGAGTAGTGGAGCACCGTCCGACGACTGATGGGAGTGAGAAGAAAGAGAAAAGAGGAGAAGGAAATGTGAGCAGAAGAAGTTGGAGGAAGGGGGTGAAGAATGTGCGTGAAGGTTGGAGGAACAGAGTGTGGAAGAGAAATGTGGTGGAGAGGGAAAGAGAAAGAAAAAACAAAAAAAGAATGAGAAAAATGAAAATTGCCACGTAGGATAACAAGTAACCGGTTAATACGCTTCTTTTCAAGTTAAAAAGAGGATTGGACTCTTTTTTGTGGTTCATGGTTTTGATTGGGTGTGGTTTTAGTTGAGGGGTTCAATTAACTTTTTTGAAACAGTAAAAGGGCTTATTTGATAATTTTTCCTAACTTTTTTATATACAATTTAGATATAAACTGTATATATGTTACATATACAAGTTTGTGATACTTTTAAGGCCTTTTGCTCAGTGCTCGGTGCTCACTCGTTGCTAGTTTGCTATGAACGTCAAACAACATGCTACTCCCTCCGTTCCAATATTATCTTCAATCTTTTCATTTCGATTCATTTCAAAATTATTTCCTCTTTCCTATTTATGAGTGAATATTATCTTGGTCCTCATGAGTGAATATTTATGAGTGAATATTATCTTGGTCCTCATTTGACTCTCTCGGGAAATAAATATGGGACACAGGAAGGATTAGTTGATCTTTACTACTGGTACAGTGGTACTCCGTATTTTTTAAAAAAAGAGTGAAGCTGTCTTTTTCCGTCTTTCTTCATGTTTTCCACGCTATCGCTAATGTGCTATTAATTCTTAGTATCTTGGTCACAACTCACCAGTACAAGCAGGTGGTTCACGAGTTGAGGGCATGATAGGCGTTAATTTACTGACAATGGTGTTTGTGATGGCGGCGGCCACCGTTTCACTCGCGGTGGCGAAAGCTGGAGCCCAACCAATCCCGAAAGGTGTAATGACACTGGAAAGGGCTTTTCCGACGAACGAGAACATGGAGGTGAAGGCGCTTAGAGCTCGGGATCGGCTAAGACATGCTCGAATGTTGCAGAGACTTTCCGGGGGCATCGTCGATTTCTCAATTGCAGGGTTGGCGGATCCAAACATGCTCGGGTACTTTCATCCCCAACCAGTTATTTTACTAAAAAATGACTATCTTTTTGCGCATTCAAGTTCAATTACGTAGTGCGTTGTTGTATTTGTTAATGTATAAGGTTTTAAAATTTTTATCTTTTCAAGTAGTTATGTTTAAATAGGTTTGTGCTGGAGGGTTCAAATGCACATCAATGCAATGACAGTGCATGTATTAATCTTGATGAATTGAATATTTTTGGACTTCGAAAATACGGAGTAGTATGGAAGCAATCCCATTTTCTATTTTTATTTCTTTTTATTATATGCATTTCCTTTCGTTTCTATGGGTAATTCATTGGGATTATCAGCTTGATATAAACCCAACTATCCTCAAATTCACAAACCTATTTCATTTCCCCCCTATTTCTTTCTAGTTTTAAGTTTAGAAACTAGTACGTAGTATTACTTATACTCTAAATTTTTATACAAAGTTTTATTTCTACAAAAATATTTGTTTACTTGTGCAGAAACAAGTGTTGCGATTAATCAAATTGCTGTACAAAATATATGAAATATAACTAGAAATATAAAAGTGTCACATACAACTATATGGAAAGAGTTCAAAGTTTTCTTGGTAACAAATAAATTTTACGAAACAATAAATATTAGTAATTAATTACTTTGCAACTTCTATAAAAAACATTAATGTATCTGATGGATAGTTCATGGATAAGTAGAATAAATTTTTTATTATTTTCAAGGTTTTATAAAAAAAAATCAGTTATATATATATGATTAGTTTTTCATTATTTGATTGTAGTTCTTGTTCATAATCAATTAATCATGAAGAAAAATAAAATTTAATAATTAATAAATACTATGTACTGTATGTAGTTTAATGATTAATAAATATTATGTAATTTATAAAATTATTAATACTGATATAAATTTTGAATTTTGAAAAATCCTGACGTGAAAATATAATTGTCGAAAAAGATGAAGTTTGGGTCTTTTTTTTATATAAAAGATAAAGAATAGGATAGATTTTTTGAATTTGGTGATAGTTAGGGATATAATAAGCTAATAATCCTAATAGATCATAGAATTTGACTGTGGGAGCGTGGGCATTCAAGAATGTAATCTGGAAACTTTTCCCTTTTTGGCCTTTGACCCCTCTATTTTACACTTTTTTATTGTGATTTCTTTTGTAGGCAGGATGAGGGTTGGGTTTAGAGCTTGTGGAGTTGTAGAGGTTCAAACTAATAGGAAAATGAAAAATAAAAAAAGTTAAATGGAGAAGTGAAAAGGTGACATTCCATATGTGACACACATGTATTTGATAATGAAAATAAATCCATGTGATGAATGACAACCACCGTATTAATGTCTTCCGAATGTCACATTTAAAATTTGCTGAAAACATCATGTCAACGATGTGATCTGGTGAAATTTCTTGCAATAATCATCCCACTAATTTAATGTGTCATTAGCTCTTCTGTTGACTTATTTCTTTCTCATTACTGAATTATTTTGGTGTGACTACAGTCTTTATTATGTCAAAGTAAAATTGGGCTCTTCTCCTAGAGAATTCAATGTACAGTTTGATACGGGAAGTGACATCCTATGGGTTGCATGCTCTTCCTGCGTAGGTTGTCCTAGGAGTAGCGGCCTCAGGGTAAAGCAGTCTCCCCCCTCACTTCTTATGTGTGTGGTTCATTGGCTCTTGCTTGTAATTATTACTTTTTATGTCTTCTGTGCGATAATCAGCATGCAACAGGTTGATCTCAACTTCTATGATGCTTCCAGCTCATCCACTGCTTCTCTTATCACTTGTTCGGACAAAACCTGTTCTTCTCTTAGTCAAGCAGCCTATGCCAAATGCTTTACTGAGAGTGATCAGTGTGGTTACTCATTCCAATACGGAGATGGAAGTGGCACAATCGGCCATTATGTATCTGATATGCTATACTTCGACACTGTCTTGGCTAACTCATTGGTAGCCAACTCTTCAGCCCCAGTAGTTTTTGGGTGAGTGGTTAAACACTGTTGAGGATATGTCAACATAAGTCCAGTTAATGGATTGAGTCAGATAAAGAGCTTTCCAATATGAAGGAATATTGTTAAACTTATATTGAGAGTAAGAGTACTGGAGGTGTTCATTTGTTCAGTTTTGAGAAACGCAACATCACTTAATTGGGTAAAAAACAGTTACGGTCGGTTTCAAAGGTTATTTTCGGTGAGTTCGTGGCAGTTTCAGAAATGTTTTGGCGTGTTTTGATCGGTTTTAGTTGTTTTTGCGGTTTGGTCAGTTTTGAGAGCATAAGCTTAACCCGTAAACGGAACCATGTTTTTTTTGTGGGTTTTGGTTTGATTGATTCAGGTTAGGTTGGTTATGGTTTGTTAAGTTTTTGTTCGCCCCTACACAATATGTCCAATTGCTGTTTCATTGCTTATACTTCATTAATCTTCACTGTGCAAACAACTTAAGAATACAGATGTATTTTTGACATGAAATATCTAAACTTTTTATAATTTATACCAACTCGTTCGGCTACTTTGGCACTTGCTGTGTTACATGAAAATAGGTGCAGCACCTTGCAATCTGGAGATCTGACTAATGGATATAGAGCAGTTGATGGGATTTTCGGGTTTGGTCGACATGATCTTTCAGTTATATCACAACTGTCATCGCTTGGGATTACTCCAAAAGTTTTTTCCCACTGTTTGAAAGGAGATGAGACGGGTGGAGGGATTTTGGTTCTTGGTGAAATTTTGGATCCAAGAATTGTGTATACCCCACTTGTTCCATCACAGTACGTATACCCTTTTCTCTTTCCCAGAACTTATGATGTGCCATAGATTTTAAAACCACGCACCCTCAATTATTATTGGTAAGTACTCATTTCTTGTCTTGTTGCATTAATTATACCTCATTGCAAGCAGGTAAGTGCTATGATCTCCAACCATACCCCCTCTGTCCCAATTTAATTGACTTTTTAGAAAGGTACACACCTATTAAGAAACAATTTCTACATGATATTCTATATTTATAGAAGTTCAACATCAATTAGGTACAGAAACATTTGATATGGGAAAAGTTAACAGTAGTTTGGTGTAACAATATAAAATCTGCATTGGATTCCTAAAGACAATATTTTTGTGACGAAAAAGTATTGACTAAAACAACTAATAAATCGGGATGAAGGGGATACTTTTAAGCAGCATATAACCATTCTCAGGATTTGTTTTGTTTATCTGCAGGCCACATTATAATTTGTACATGCAGAGCATTGCTGTTAATGGGATATTATTGCCTATTGATCCAGGAGTGTTTGTTACATCTGAAAGTCGTGGAACCATTATAGATTCCGGCACAACATTGGCATATCTTCCCCCTGAAGCTTATGAACCCTTTATCAGTGCTGTAAGTTTGCCTGAGTATTTTTTTTCCTCCTTTCTACTGCAGTGCTAATAAAATTTACGTTTTTCACTCTTTCTATATCCAAACATCATCCTTTTACACTTTGTTCACCATAAATATTAAATAGCATGTTTGCTGCATTGTTGTGCAGATAACAAGTATGGTTTCACAGTCTGCAGCTCCCTTTGTATCTAAATCGATGCAGTGTTATGTGGTTAATACAAGGTCCGTTCACTCACAATTCTTTGCTCTATCTTTACTCTGTTAATTGTTTGAATGACTGATCTGTTATCCTTCTTATTTTAAACAGCAGCAGCAGCATAACTTATATATTCCCCACTGTGGTTTTGAACTTTGCTGGTGGCGCATCGTTGGCTTTAAGACCTTTAGATTACCTCTTCCGTATGAGTTATCTTGTGAGTGTTGCGATATGCTCTACATTGATTTTTTTCTTGCTTAATGTCATAAAACATACCTTTGAAAACTGGTTCAATCATTTTATTCTATTGTAACAGGAAAGTAATGAAGTTTGGTGCAATGGCTTTCAGAAACACGAGCTGGGTATTACAATTTTAGGAGGTCAGTTCTTGCATTGTTGTGTTTCAGCGTGACCTTTGATATATCTTTTTTTCCTTTGATGTGCCAATTTACCTCTGATATATTATGAGAAGAAAGACGACAAGAATAGTTTCTTACTCTTTTACATGTATGTTCTCTGGAGATAAAGGCCATTGTCAAAAATTAACTAATATTTTGTTCCTACCTTTTGATCCTTAGATCTTGTTTTGAAGGATAGAATCATTGTTTATGATTTAGCTCATCAGAGGATTGGATGGGTTGATTATGATTGTGAGTTTCATTTCAACTAGATCCTGTTCTCCTTATGAAAGTCATGTTTAAGTTTATGCTGACACAAACCTTCTGGATTAACACTAATTAATTAATTAATTATGCTCAAGTAAGCAATGTTTTACATGCAGGTTCAACCTCGGTATATGTGTCTGTGACTTCTGGCAAGGATGAATTTACCAATGCTGGACAGTTGAGTGTCAACTGTTCACCATGTAATGCATTCCATTATATGCCTGTTTGGATTCTGATGACTGGGTTTTTATTTTTGTAACATGGTTTGTTGTCATCCCATCCCTCCCCCCACTAGATAGTTAATAGGAATAGCATTAGGTTTCTTGTGGTGCATTTGGTTTAATCATGAGGCATAATTGAAGAGGCTTTAATTGCCTTGTTGAGCAATAACCACTTAAACAGATTAGTATTCAAGCTCATGGTTGTGCTACTTCGCAAGTAGTTTTTTTTGGGAAAATGGTCAAATAAGCCCTTATATAGGAGGCTATGTCCGGCTGTCGCCATTTGGGGTAGTTCCCGGTGGATTTTTTTGATGAAATTTTTTGAGAATCTTATTCGTTAAGTCTAGTTTACTCATACTAAATTTCAGCTAACAATTCAATCTGGAAGGCATTCAAATGAATTCTTGAAGATAATTGTGCTTTTAACTGCGTAGTTATCTTCAAGAATTCATCTGAAAGCCTTCCCGATTGAAGTTTTAGCTGAAATTTGGTATGAGTAAACTAGACTTAATAAATAAGATGCTCAAAAATTTTCATCAAAAAATTCCACCGGAAACCGCTCCAAATGGCGACGGCTGAACAGAGCCTTCTATATAAGGGCTTATTTGACCTTTTTACGTAAGTTTGAGGGTCTATCTGACCCTCTTCCCCCTTTTTTTAGTTGTAAAATTTTAATACGTTTGGACTTGGTTAATAAGATAGGTAAGTCTTTCTGGTAGTGACAAATTTGGTTAAAATGAATGAATATTGTTGAATTCTCTAAATGTATATCTTGGAATACTTTTTGATATATTAGAAGGAACAATATGTAAAAGTGTAAAACATGATGTTGTAATAGCATGTGCATTTATATTTGTTATAGCTTGAAAATAAATCTGCCCTATTTTATCAGTTGGTTAAGCTAATAATGCTATCAAAGAAGTTGGCGTTTGGTAGAAAATTTGGCAGATAAGAGTTGTAAGTTAAAAAATGTTTACCAACTGGATTTGTTGTGTGAGACATGTGGTTCAAAGATGCATCCCCTTCTTCTCCATAAGGCAGACTTAGCTCAGACACAAAGGGAGGAGTGCAACATCTACCAAGTATTTTGCGCCAGCTGAAATTCATGCATAATATATAATGGTGGAAAAAAATTAATCAATCAGTGGAAAAGGAATTAGATTCCAATGCAAGTTGAAGAGGAATGAAAAAAGGGCAGGTGCTATTGAGCAGTCAAAAAGCAATGGACACCACTAATTCTAAATTTTCTAATAGAAAAAAATCTCAAAAGCAAATACAAATATGTAAGAAAGAAAGAAAGAAAGAAAGAATATGTCTTGCTTACTAGTAACACCATTCTCTGCGACTCTACTCCCAAACTCTGGTACCCATCACATATCTGTAAAGTTGCAAAAAAATCTGAATTCCCAGTAAGTTGTTGATTCATAAGATGGAAGCACAAAGGTGGAAGTCATGCAGCTTACACCTTTCAGAGTAGGAATACCTCTTGCTGTAACCGTGGCTGGTTTCATCATCGCTAGGATCACACAGAGAAAGAGTTCTCTTTTGCGCTGTTCTCCAGTAAAAGGACACAACGATTCTTCAGAATTCGTCACTTCTGGAACTCATGTGAATGGAGACCGTGTCCATCCACTTAACTCATGATCTTCATCTTCTTATAATCACACTTTAGCAGACAGCTATCCCAAGAACACAGTTGAATCTCAAGAAAAATTGTTGGTTTTCAAGATATGTTGCTTACGGATAGGCCTGGACTCGGGCCGGGCGGCCCGACCCGGAACCGGCCCGGCCCGGCCACTGTAGCAACCGGCCCGGCCCGGTGGCCCGGTCCACCGGCGGTTCGGGTCGAACCGGCCCGGTGGTTCCCGGTTCCGGGCCCGGGCCTTCCATATGGGGAACCGGCCCGGCCGGTTCGGGCCCGGTCCGGGCCGGATTTTAATTTTTTTTTTTTTTGAAATTTTTTTTAAGTCTTGGGTTGGAATAGGTATTTTGGGCCATTTGAGGTGGTTTGGGGTGATTTGGGGTTGAGGGGGAGGGGTAGGGGATTAAATAGGAGAACCAAAAAAAAAAAAAATTGGACCGGTTTGGCCCGGCCCGGCCCGGTTTGGCCCGGAACCGGAACCGGAACCGGCCACCGGCGGTTCGGGCTCGGGCCTCCCCTTTCCTGGCCCGAGGCCCGGCCGGGCCCGAACCGGCCCGAGTCCAGCACTAGTTACGGAGAAGGATAATAAGTCTGTTGGAGATAACTCAAACTGAACTACTGAAAAGTCTTAAAAAGATAAGACCAGAGATCCTCAAAATTATGAAACTGCTTGAATATTCAAGATCAGGGAATGTGTTGTTTGATAGGAGGGTCAAAAGGCTTCAGAAGAAATTCAAACATCTTTCGCGTATGGCGAATGAAAAAAAATCTTCAGCTGAAAGCTAAAGACGCAGAAACTTCAAGGAACCAAGCAGATCTTGAAAACAAGGATCACTTGCTCAAGAAGATAGAGAAAGATATCATAGAGCTAAAAGTGGCTCTTGAGCAATTGCAGAATGGAAGGAATAAACTACATAGTAGATTGGAAATGGCAGCAAAGCAAGATTCCCCCAAGGTAGTATAAACACAAAACATTCTCTTCACATCCCGATGCCCGGTTAAAAACAATGTTTTGTTCACTCATGACCAGTCTTGTTTTTTTGCTGTCTATAGGCAATAATCTCTTGATAAAATCTTCCATTCTTCACTTGTCTCGGTTCCCTCCAACCCCCTAAGTATGCTGTTTTTTTAATCTTATTACTTCACCAACTTAATAGGTCTACCATTTTTTTTCTTCTCAAATCAGTCTCCAAACATATAGAAATATTGAGTTTTTTTCCATGTGATTTTGGGCTTTTATTCACCATGTTTTGGGTATATTTTCAGTTTTTTTCAGGGGTCGAGGGAAGATGCCCGTATTGCCCACCCCTCGGACTGGCCATGGGTTAGCTCCATCCTCTGTTCTAAAAATCGTTCTAGACGTCCGACTAGTCCCCACCTAGGCGGTGGTTGGGTGCCCCGATTTTCATCTAGGCGCTCCGACTAATTGGTTTGCTGTCTAGGTGAATTAGTCGGCCGCCTATGGCTCCTAGTTGCCCGCCTAGAGCGCCTAATCGGCCGCCTAGGCCGTCTAGATTCACCAAACATAACATTACTTTTTAATTTTAATTTTCTAAGCGATATAGGTACTTTAGCTTTGGCCATGGATATAATAAAGAAATGAAGTTGTAAACTAAGATAAAACTATATATGTTTCTATATATACCTAAATTTCATCATTATTTATATTTATAACATAATGAAGTTAAGCGATTAGTTGTCATATACTATGTATGATTAAATGTGATAATTCTATCATTCATGTTTGTTAATGTATATGTATATATGTATTTTATACACACAAAAAAACAATATTACTTGTCATATTTATTCAAAAATATAGATAAATATGCAATTTGTTTGTCTCCGACTAGTCCCCGACTAGGCGCCCGCCTAGACGCTAGACGCTCGGCTAGCGCCCGACTAGACACTAGAAGCGCCCGACTAGCGTCTAGTGCCTTTTAGAACATTGGCTCCATCCATAAAAACCTCCAGAGAGGGGAGGAGTGGAGGACTATTTTACTACATCTGAGATCGACTTTTTTCTTTCTACATTGTTTTATTAATAAATAAAAAAAAGTAAATTTCTTTGCAGACTAATGCAGACATGGTTAGCATGGTTGATCACAAGGAATCAGTGCAAGAGCAAGTTCATCAGCAAAGTAAAGCAACAGAAGTGGAGAAAGAACTGGTATATCTTTGGTGGTGTAATGCTTGCTTGAGGCATGAGCTGATGAAAATGAGTCAAGCAGATGCACCCAATTGATACAGCTGAAAAACATGGAGAGTTTGCGGATTTTTCATCTGAACATGAACTAAGGATGCATTCTATGACTCCGGAGCACCATTTAGCTAATTGCTTAGCCGTCCCAATCAGCGAGCACCTCTCACGACCGTTCAAAACGGGAAAGGTGGGCTGAGAAAATCAAGAAGTGGAGGCAGACAGCTAAGCATAATAACTAATAATTAGATGGATGAGAAAGAGAAGCATGAGACAAAGTGCTTGGAAAGCATTCACATTCTGTTGCTTCTCGGGATTTAGTGCTTCCTGCTGCAAGAAACTCATGCATGCTTTAGTGTGCTTTTAGACCCGAGTTTAACTCATGTCAATTATGTTAGGGGTAACCATTTTTGGCATAGGACTGTGTAAGTACTAGGAGAATATTAGGATGAAAGTTCAACCACCCCCTCAACGTTAAATTGTCTGGCCGCAGATTCATCAGTTTACTCCATAGAATGACTCGTACTAATATTGCAAACGACCTTCTTTAGTTTGAGCTTACACTACAAATAGTGAAACACAAATGGTCATTGTAACAAGTTATGCAACAAAATAATTAGATATTAACAAAGGTTGTGTCAATTTCTTTAAATCCTATATACCTGTCTTTTTAGGAATCTTGATTTAAAAATCACCTTCAAATGGATTTCAACTTCGAAGCTACTTGACATATCATGACTCTTGATTTGTGAAACCTATTGATATACACGACTAAATGCATAGAGTCCTGAACTAAAACCTGTGTGTCAATTTTATTTATTATGTAAAGTTACCTCAAACTGAAACTATCATTTTACACCATACTACCCTCTGTATCACTTCTATAACAGAATTGCAATTTTGTTATTTGATGAGAGCAGGAAAATAACAATCAACGGTAGCAATTGTTGCCCAAGCTTAAAGCTTAAACACAAATTTATTCAATAATAATGGATAGTTCGAATAACCCTATTAATGGGCATAAATAACCAACTAGTTTAGGAATCCTAATTAAACCATTCTAAGAAACTATATAGAATAGAAATCTTCTAATTCTAATAATAATATTATTCAAAAAAAAATTATAATAAGAATAGAAGTCCTAAATAAATCATACTAGGAAACAAATTATAAGTAAATAACTAAGGAATTAATTAAAGCCAATTAAAATAGCCAACCCACGTAGGTGGGCTCGAGCCCGTTCCCGCCTCCGGTAGACTATCAAGGGCCTGGGGCCCGGCTCTCCTTCGGTCGCCCCTGCCTGCTCCCTATAATTATTGGAGCTAAGTAACAAAGAAATCTTATAGCTTAAGTGAAGTCTACATAAATTCTAACAACGGTCATGAGTTTGAGATCTATTAGTGCTGTATTTATGTTCTTTCTTTCTGAAGACAAAGAAATACTCTCAAACCCTTTACGCTGTGTTTGGATGGAGTGTTAGGGAGTGTTAGTAATGGAAGTGTTAGTAAGTGTTGACAGTGGCCCGGAAGGGAAGGTAAGTGTAAGTGTTAAGTATAAACTAACCCTGTTTGGAAGAGTAAAAAAATGGAGTGTTAGTAAAGGAAGTGTTTTCACATAAATTTACAAAAATAACCCTTTTTAAATCTTAATATATATTAAAATGAAATCGTATGGGGAAATAACTGTTCCTGCCATATACATAATATGTTCATCCGTGAAACATGCATGTTATACACTTCGTAATAATTCATATAAAGACAAAAAATATAAGTATAAATAATATTTTAAAAAGTTAAAATACTATTATATGTAATTCTCCGTACTAATTAAAACTCCCAAAAAATAAGTAATAAGGAGTATTTAGTCAATAAATTACAAACGTTGTTTTCAGTCACATAATTGTATATATATATATTGTACAACACGTACAACTCTTGAAAAAAATGAAGTGCAACAAAATAAGTTTTAATTGATCAAAATCAGGAATACAATCCTTCCGGCTAATATAATGTATCATCATTTTTAAATAGAGATAAGCAAAATAAGGGTTGGTTCATCAAAATTAAGAATACAATCCTTCCAATACAGCAAAAGGGAAACATAAAATTAAAAAGTTATAATTAGATAAGATTAATGCACTAGCTCATGACATCATGTCATAAAGAAGACTTCTCCGATTTTCAGGTGGACATCCAAGTAGAGCTCTCAACATATCAGGCTTCTGAACAAGAAACAAGTAGCTTTTGTTACGAGCTTCAACAGCAACATCTAACTCAACCAATAAATTCCAAACTTCATTTTCTGGAATTGGAAGTGTGGTAGCTTTAACAACTTCAGATGTTGAAGATGAGATAGCCTGAGCAACATTATCAAGTCCTTCTTTCAGAAGCACAACTTCTTCATCAACTTTAACCTTCTTTTTCCCCTTTTTCTTTGAAGATGCTTCCCCATGAGAGATTGAGTGAGATCGTATGACATCCTCAACATTTTGATTTAAGATTCCTTGAGGTGTACTTCTCTGACTTGTTTGTTGGGATGCATCAATATTTTCCAAATTCTCAGTACTTCCAAACATTGACTCAATGCCTTCAATATTATCCAATGAAGTATAAATGTCACTCTCCTCATTAGCAGTGGATCTCCTCTTCCTCATTTCTGCTGCAGTTTCCGCATGCTGGCCATCAGCTCTATCTTTCCCAAATAGTTGACATAACTTGTTAAAGTTACGCATTTGCTTATTTTTCCACTCAGTGGCTTCTGGCTTGACCTATGTAAAATGTATACATTATCACATACCAACACATTCATACCAAAAAGTAAAAAAAAAAACATATTATTTGCAAATATACCTCAATTAACCGTTGCCAAACTTCAGGTTCAGCAGTGAACATTTCTCTAGCGGGATCCCAACCAAAGCCACTAGCACCATTTCTAAACAAGTCATAGCATGGATACCAAATTCGTTTAATATTTTTCATCCGATTTTGAATCTTATCCTTATCAATTGGTTTATCAGGAAACATTTCCTTCAATTCCTTAACGATATTGTCATATGCATGCGTAGTGAAAGTTCCACCTACTCTATTTCCTAGAGTATCTTGATTCAGATAAGCATCAATGAGAGCATCATCCATAGGCTTAGACCAATTCAATGAACTAGTAGCCTTACTTGCACCATCCACGTTTTTCCTACTTGGAGCCATTCTTGAGAAACAAACACACAAACACAACATCAATCATAATGCATTAATTATCAGTAAGTGAACATTAAACAAGCAAACATATTTTGCAAAAACACATGATGCAAATTGATAATATTAACTCCATTAGTAGTCATTTGATAGAATATAATCTCTAAAAATCAGAAACGAAAACATAGTTTAACATGTTTTAACAACTACTATTTTCATATATTATAATCAGCCCACATAGATGCAGCTATAGAATCCCTAATCATTTCTCCCATAGCAGAGTCTTCATCCTCGATACTACAATGGTGTTGTTGTGGAGGATTTTCATTTGCTAGTTCCGTATCAACTTCTGCAAGCAAATTCGGATCTGGATCTACATCCATCTTGTAGTTGTGCAAAATAAAGCATGCCAAAATAATCGCCTTTTGAGTTTCGACCCCATAATGGGTTTTTTCATTTGCAATGATAGGAAAAACTTTTTTTAGCACACCAAATGCTCGTTCAATTGCATTCCTCAATGCTGAATGTCGATGATTAAATAGTTCACGTGCATTTCGTGGTCCGTTGCGACGAGAGTACTCCTTCAAGTGATAACGTTGCCCACGATACGGTGTTATAAGGCAACTTTTCAGCATGAATCCGGCATCAACGAGATAATATTTTCCTAAAATAATAGAAGTGATCATATAAATTCTTATGTCAAGATTTATTAAGAATAATCTTAACATTAATGCATTACAAATACCTTCTGGGGCTTTTAAAGGATATTCTCTCGATAATGCATCTTTGATAATTCTAGAGTCAGATGCGGTGCCTTCCCATCCAGCTAATACGTATGTGAATTTCAAATCAAATGAACAAGCAGTCAAAACATTTAGGGTGGGTTTATCTTTTCTACCACGATATTTCGGCGCCTCAGTAGGTGAAACTTTTACTGCAATGTGTGTTCCATCAATAGCCCCAACACAATCCTGACATTTTACATTTAATTGAGTATTTTATTTTTATATGTGCTACTATTAAAATCTAAAGATATTAGTAATTTTCACCTTGAAAAATGGATAATATCGAGAGTTGTCACGAATTTCTGGAGGAACTTCAGATCCGTTTGGTTGTATAAGAAATCTATTTTCCACTTCCAATACAGCTCTCAAGACATTGTGAAAGTGACGACTATTCGATTCTCCAGAACGATAGAAGAAAAAAGCTATCGCACGATTGGTCACATTATGTGATAGCACATAAAGGGTTATTGCAACCTGTTCTTCAACGCTAACATATATTGAAGGTCGAAGGCCGCCATATCTTACTAAAATATCACAAAGACCTACGAATGCTTCTGCGCCCAATCTTATGATATTGCGACCTAAATAATGAGTAACCACCCTGTCGAAAAGCAAATTCCTTACTCTTTCTCCCTCCAATGTGAGAACGCGGTTCACTTTTTTTCTTCGACGCAATCCGACCCAATACATAACAATGCATATAACTTTAGCTATAGCTAAATGATGCATTCGAGTCACTTTATATAAATCTTTCACTTCAATTCTTCTACCGGACATCCTTAATAAAACATAAAACAAATGAAAAACTATCACCTAGATGAATTATAAAGCTATTGAATTATAAAGAAACTGGGGGTCTGACACGTCCTCCATTACTCATCTAACAGAAGGGTGCTGTTTTGAAACAGTTTGACATAGCAGTGGGATTGAGATTATATAATCAATATTACCAGCACAACATGACTAAAACTAAAGATAAATTCAATATTTCAAGAATTTAGTAACCAAACAATAAACCTGCAAGTTTATGAATAGATTATCATCCCAAAAATTATAAATGGTAAACACAAGTTCAACATTCCATTAATTAAGCAAGGATTCAAAATGTAAATCAGTTTAATGACTATCTGAAACAATTCAGATTATTCAAGAATAGTTAAGCGAGAGATTTAGTTTAAACATGCAAAAGGTTTAGTAGCCTTTAGTTCTTATACAAAAATGAAACTGAACTTAACTAAACTAATAAATTATATATGAAACTTAACTTGATTAAGTATGAGTATTATAAGAGAGTTTCACCCTGTTCAACTTCCAATCTACAAAGTACTAATCTACTGCATTTGTAAGAGAACTTTTGTCAAACAGTTTATTGCAAAGTTTCATTACATTATCTTCTAATTTATATTAATCATTCACAGACATCCATATGTATAGACATTCATATGTTTAATCACTAACTAAAAAAAGTTGTTGAAATCACATTTTGGGATTGTAAACAACAGACCACACATCAATCTATCACATATATAAATCAAACATATAAGGAATATATAAAATCTGGTTCTGAGAGAACTAACCTCGAATAACAAATGATGAACCTGGAATAACAAAGGCCGACAAGGAGTGAGAGGTTGAAGCACAAGAGATTGCCGAAGAAGAAGAAGAGATGGAG